GGTCTCTGCTGGGGGTTCAGACTCAGAGAGGTAGGACCTGGGGAGGGAGATGGGGAGGGGGAAGGAGATGGGGAGGGAGGGACATTGTTGGGAGGCTGAGGCACTGAAGGGCCTCCAGGAGTGGGCTGCATCATGTGTTGGGCGGGGGGCATGTGTGGACCCATGGCAGGCGGTTGCTGGGGGGCACTCGGGGGTACATTAGGTCCTGCAGCTGGGGGGTACATAGGAGAGGGCTGCGGGTGAATCATGGGAGCCTGAGGTTGTTGGGGGGCGGCATGCTGGGGGGCCAGAGGCTGCTGAGGCATCATCGGAGACCCTCCAGGGTAGCACATCCCCCCAGGATGAGGGGGCGGAGCCTGACCGGGCATCTGCATGGGCTGCTGGGGCATGTTCGTGATTGGAGGCTGTCCGGGGTGGTGGTGAGGGGGCATCTGTGGCATGGGGCCCCTCGGCATGTGGACCATATGAGGCTGTGAGGCTGGAGGCATCTGTGGCCGCATGTTGGGGTGAAGGGGCTGGTTACCGGGGGGCATGTAGTGCTGGGAGACCGGGGGCATTTGCTGACTTGTGGGGGGCATTTGTACTCTGGGACCGCCTGGTATGTGCATTTGTGGGTGGGGAGGGATCTGCTGCTGTTGGGGCATCATGTGTGGGTGAGGAAGTCCAGGGGGCATCTGTTGGTGTTGGTGGGGGTGGGGCATGTAGGGCTGGGATGTAGGGGGTGCAGGCTGAGAAGTGGGGGGTATGTGTTGAGGAACAGTTTGAGGGGGCCTTGGCATCATGTGAGGGTGCTGCTGGGGGAGGTAGCCTTGGGGGGGCTGGTAGCCCTGGGGTATCTGGGGCTGGGGCTGATAGCCATTTTGCTGATGTGGCTGCAGCTGACCTGGGAAGAGAGATGAAACCGTGTTAACAATTCAGATCAAATTCAGAGTGACCAAAACGATCAGCAGCATTAATACAATTGTGCTGAACATTTACAAAAAGTAATAAAATACTAAAAACATCTCCCCGTATGAGACATTACTAAATATGTGGTTTTGTGCAATCGCCAAATTAGCAGACTGCAGTCACCAAGCAGAATGTGGTGCAAATGATTTTGACTGATAATGGGATAACGATGTGGAAGAAAAAATGTTATCATTATTTTCAATATCAAAAATATATTTAAAAGATGTAGGAGCCGTTTGGTTTACTTTTTTTAAAGGATCTTTACCAAAAAGATATGTTTTTGTTAAGCCTGTAGAATACCATGTGTAGGTTATTATGTTGACAAATGGTGCAGCCCGACAACGTGTAGTATTTTAACAAAAGTCAGTCACTTTAAAAAGGTTCAGTCACAATAGAGTGCCGCTTCCTCGAAACCGGGAAGTAAACTCCTTCCGGTTCCATCAACAAAAAAGCAATGAGATTTCTCCATAGGATTTTGGAAAATAGCTTGAAATAAGGTCTGTGGTTGAAACACATTTAAGAGACGGATCATGTTTAGTTCACGTCTACCCTACTTTTATCATTTTCTAATCATAAATCTAATCGCCAGAAGCAAAATGCTAACGTTATGCTATAAAGGAACTACAGCAGGGTCGCTGCTTCAACGTCACGCCAACTTAAGATCCATATTCAAACGTACAGATTCTAAATGGTACGAGTTGAAGCGTTTGTTTGAACAGTCTGCAGGAGGCAGGAGGCAGGGACTTGCTTTCAAGCAGAACAGGGCAAACCAACTTAGAGGAGTGTTTACGTGTTGGGCGTAATGACGTACAACGGCCTGGACAACTTCTCTCGTCCTATTCAGCCACATGTTAACAACCATCGTTTCTCAGACACGTCAACACTTCAGGAATCACCAGCGGGGTCACTGCTGATGGATTTAATGTCGTAGAACAAAACGTGATCTGTCTCTTCAATGTGTTTCAACCACAGACCTTATTTCCAGATATTTTCCAAAATCCTATGGAGAAATTGAATTGCTTTTGTGCGAAGGAACCGGACGTGCTAACATGCTAACCTACTTCCGGGTTTTAGGACGCGTCACTGTGGCGCTCTATAGACAAGCTATTAGCACGTTAGAAAGACCAA